TTTAATTATTTAATTATTTAATTATTTAATTATTTAATTATTTAATTATTTAATTATTTAATTATTTAATTATTTAATTATTTAATTATTTAATTATTTAATTTAATTTAAATTATTTAAAAATGAGATGCTTATATATATCAAAAATGATTAATGTCGAACAAAAACGACTTCTGTTTTGAATTATTAATGTCTTGACGATCAATTGGACCAAAACCAATGGTCGAATGGTCACGATGATTATTTGCCAATTGTAGTCGATGAAATGAACGTCTAATGGTTTTTATACATAACTTTATTTTCATTGTTTGAAATATTTGAGGTAAACAAAATTAGTGGAACACCATCTATATCGCTTCTAATACTATTTTATAAAGACGTTAAAATTTTGTACCACGTAGAACGTAACTTATATTTAAATAAAAAGTTATAAAATTTTGAAGTGTAAAATTTTAAAAAATTTTATGTGTGATTGTGTGCCAACGTATTTTTCAATTTTTTTGAATGTACTCATTTATCGGAAAAACTAAAAAAATACGTTCATAATTATATAAAATTAATTTTTGTAGGACCCCTCAACTGGAGTAAGCACAAATGTCTCCTTATCAATGTTCATGGTTAAAAGCGGAAAAAGATATAGATATCGTATGATCAGTGCTTTCAGTACGGTTTGTTTGGCTGAAGTAACAATCGAGAAGCATTTCATGCAGATAATTGCAACAGACGGCGAAAATGTGCAGCCAATATTGGTAGATGCAATTACTTTGGCCTCAGGTAATATTTATTTGAAGTATATACGGTGAAACAAAGTAATAACGAATAGATAATATAGACAATGTACCTAATATTTAATATTCTTACATGCTTTTCAAGATAAATCTATGGATATGTAGGGTGTCCTAAAATTCCCGCATGTAGAAGTGATTCTTTATGTTTTGTAACGGCCTGACTTTATCGTCGAACGCGGACTCGCCGGATCGGGAGTTCAACTGAAAGGCCCAGAGACAATAATCAATTTGCAACGCACCAGTAACATTCACTTTATTCAACTCGGGATTCGGTATTACACACAAAGAATAACGGGACGCGGTATATTACAGTGGTCGGTAGTGCCGGTGCACTCGACGCGGTATACGCCGCGGAATATCGGAACGCGGGTCTTTAACTGGACGCGGCGTTTACAATGACGGGAGTGCATGTGCACTCGACGTGGTATCTGGAATATCGGAACGCGGGTCTACAATATTACAGTGGTCGGTAGTGCCGGTGCACTCGACGCGGTATACGGAATATCGGAACGCGAGTCTTCAACTGGACGCGGCATTTACAATGACGGGAGTGCATGTGCGCTCGGGCGGTAGGACGGACGAACGGAACGCGGTATATTACAACGATTAGTAGTGCATATGCACTCGGGCGGTAGGACGGACGAACGAACACGGTATATCACAACGATCGGTAGTGCATGTGCACTCGGCGCGGTATGCGGGATAACGCGACTTTACAGTAAGACGCGGTATTTTACGGCGCGCTATATACAACGGAGAATTGCGGGATCCCGGGGTTACGGTCGCGAGAACCCTCGCTACGAGGCTGAGCACGCTCGACCTCGTTGTGCCGTGGCCGTCGGGAGTAAGTGCGATGGAATCCGGAGACACCTGAGAACGCTCAGTCGAGGCCTAAATATTATTCGATGATAATAATAATAATTAGAAGGGGTTGTCTTATGTCCCCTCGTTTGCGAGAAAACTATGAAATGACTCGAAGGACCAGAAGGAGGGTATCGGAGTTCTACCTCGCCTTTAGAGGCGCGAAAAGCGAAATGCAAGCAAACAAATTAAAAGGCGACTCGTACCGCCCGACACGTACCTTGTATTCCGCTCACCAAGGCCTGGTAATCTCTTGCGCCCGCAATATTAAACAGCAATCAAGCAGTCAATAGGCAGCAAAGCAGTGATTTCGAGAACTTGTTCTGAATTGATTTCCGGAGCGATCCTGCAAGCGTGGTCGCGAGCGAGTAATCGGATTCTCCTTATCGACATAGCGATAGCTACCGTCAGCGGATGAGTGATGGCAGCTGGCAGCACCGATTGGTCATCACGCGTAGACATATCAATCGAAACTATCAGTCGCAATTCGCTGACGTTTCGCGAGACAATAAATGTACAAGACGAACTTATCAAATAATGATTACTAACTAACTATTTACAAAGCAGTACCAAACAATAATTATTATATAAAAATAAATTACTGTTCATCGCAAATATTTTTTAAGATTAATAACATTTTCTTTATTTTTTGTAAAAATTAGATATTGATATTTATTTTAAAAAGTAAAGTTTTGCTTAAATTTAACTTTTTTATTTTTATCTATGCTAAAAGAGTGAAAAAAAAATTTTTTTTGTAAAATGGTCGATGAGAATTAAACGCGGACCAGCAGCATAGCAGTCAAGAGCTATAGCTGTTTCGTTGCACTACCTACTTCGACGAAAATTACCTCTTACGAGCTGATAAACTTGCGTTGCCTATTTTCCAAAAGCATTGTCGAAAACGGCTAAACATTGCGCGCTAGCCTTTCACTATGTTTTAGTATTAGTGAAGGACTATTACAGAAATAAGTTTCGTTCAAATCCGTTTCCCAGTCCTCACACTCTTCCTTTGTCAGCGATGTGTCACGCTTTTCCCACTTTGCTTGCCTATGCACGTGGATATTCTCTCGTTGGACGGAGAAATCACCCTTTTTATGTATTTGATGTCGCGACGCTATCGCGTCGTTTGACGTACCTACTTTGTAAACTATTAATTTTTTAATAATTACTTAAACGTTTTGCATGTATAGAATAATGAAATAAATACATTCACATATGCAGAAAACGTATGATTTTATTTAAAAAATATATATTTATATGTTACCAATAATTGTACCTATAAAAAAAATAATGTTATGAGAAGGTGGATAGCATTATGCTCTTTAGGTTTATGCTTTTATTATATTTTATCATTTGTAAAAGATATTTTTTATAATTATACATGAATTATTCCATATATTGTGTGACTGTGAGAATAATGTCGTTTTGCAGCTTATTCCAATAAGTGGAATAGAATTCTAAAAATATACAATTTGTGTGTAGGTGAACGTGTTGATTTTGTCCTATATGCGAATCAAACTCCAGGTTTTTATTGGTTACATGTACGAGGACTTGGAGAATGTCAAGAAAGACAAATATATCAATTAGGAATTCTCGCCTATCAGGATAGTTCTAAATCATCATTATCATCAAATCCAGGATACTATTTTAACCAATCTAATAATGTTGTGAGTATAACACCAAATAAATATTAAATATAGTAAATTTTGCATTTTTAAAGAACATTGCACCACTCTTATAGGTTTCGGGGTCCCGGTTAATTTTCATGGGGCGATGATATGTTACTCTCTAGACCTTCCTGATAAAAAGTCTTGCTGGGCACAACCTCTAAAAATTAACCGTTTTCGAGATATTTAACTCTGAAGCTATTAAAAAAAAAAAAAAAAAAACTATTTTCTGCCGTTTTTCGTGTTTTTTAACAACTTTTTCGCTGAAAATGTTTTTATTCACATACCTTAGACTTATGGTAAGGAAGGGAAGACACAATTACCACCCTACCCCACATATTGGGTCTCTAGATTGCTCACCGGGGCACAATTTACCATAAAAAAGGGCGTTTTTTTTTGTCATCCTTTTGTCTTTTCACAACTAATTATTGCGTGATTTGCATTTCTGAAGCTATGAAATAAAATGAAAAGAACAAAAATGCTTTTTCATAAAGTATTTGTTCCCACCGCACTTACTTATTTGTGTGACACGAAATAGTAACTAAGGAAAATGTTCCTTCGTCGTAATATCGAGAGCTTCCGGGATGTAGCGTCGATTGTCCGTAGTACGCACGATTCTTCGTGCACGCGCACCGCCGTGCGACTCGTGTAACGAGCAAGTACGCGGTAAAGAGTTCATTTAAAACCGAGTCACGAGGAGATATGTACATTTACACACCGCAAGATTAATCGTAGAGAATAGTCGCGAATACTTTTTCGATTGAGAACGCAATCTGATACACGCCTACATATACTGAACAAGAGATTTGAGAATGAGCGCGACCGGGCTTCTTCTTCCGCGGTTCGTGACTCTCTGCCGAGCTTTTCGTGCGTCGCAAGCACGGACTGGCAAAAAACCAAAACAAGTGCTCGGATAGCTAAGGCGACGCGGGAACCGCGGCGAGGGGCGTTAGGCCTATTGTATTTGGTTTTGTGGGCAATCTAAAGGCCCAATATGTGGGGTAGGGTGGTAATTGTGTCTTCCCTTCCTTACCATAAGTCTAAGGTATGTAAATAAAAACATTTTCAGCGAAAAAGTTGTTAAAAAACACGAAAAACGGCAGAAAATAGTTTTTTTTTAATAGCTTCAAAGTAAAATATCTCGAAAACGGTTGATTGTCAGAGGTTGTGCCCAGCAAGACTTTTTATCAGGAAGGTCTAGAGAGTAACATATCATCGCCCCATCAAAATTAACCGGGACCCCGAAACCCATAAGAGTGGTGCCATGTTCTTTGTGATAAATTGCATAGTAAAAATCCATCTCTTTCTTTAGCTCAAATAATGGTTTTTAAGTTTTAATATCTTAACTCTTTGAGAATGTAAGAAAAACAAAATGCAGAAAGATATGTGAAAAGTGTCGCAGTAACAAGCAAGCATTTATAATAGACTTACTTGGTGCTATTTTTCTATTGCAATCATTAACACTCACTTAGCCATAAATCAAACTGTCGTCTAATAAGTATATATTTACTTAGTAACTACAATGACATACTAACAAAGAAACACTTAACCAAACATTCGTTCCTCAGCCCTCGTTCGATTTTGATGAACTTTGTACATGTCATTATATAGATCAAAACAAGAGATTTGTATTTTTTTAATAAATGCTTAATTTGGCTTTAAGGATTTAGAACATTCCTTTGAAGCAAAACTGATATTGTTTGTGCGCGTGTGAGTGAGAAAGAGATAGTGGGTGAGGGACCACTGACACCGAAGTTTGAAGTAACACAATAGTTTATTTTAACAACCACAAATACATGACAAAATTAAAGAGTAACATAATTTAGAAGTGTATTTGGATTCAACTGAACTCGGAAACGCGGGCGTTTTAAATGAAATCTTTATCGACACTTTCTCGCTTGTCGTGTCGGATAAAAACTGAGCCGGTTTTTCGGGCGTCTGCGGATCATAACGCGTGAAAATGGCGCAAAGCGCGAATGTACGTGGAGGCAAAAACGCGTAAGATCCCGTCAATAAATTCTCTATCCCGGCTGGTAGCTAGGATCTGGATTTCAGTCGTATGAGAACAGCGGAATGATCGATGAAATTAGGAGCTGACTCACGGCGGAATCTAATAATTAACAAAAATTCGCGGAGTTTTTTATACCCCGGATTGGCGACGTTAGTGACGGGGGAATGGTGCCGGTGCACGCGAACGCCGGGGTTGATTGGATGGCGCGGTCGGGAATTACGGACGCCCGACGTCGCGATCGCGCGACGGGTTTCGGGCGACATCGGCTTTGCTCGGCGCTTCGAGCCGGTGCTGCGGATCGCGAGTCTGTTAGGACTTCGAGCGCAAATGATAACGTTTAAAAAATAGGTGGGCTATGCCCGTTCTTCGTCCGGCAGATGGTCGACCGGGCGGCATCGGCGAGATGTTCAGCCGGGTCGATGCGGGTTTTTCGGGGGCGCATCACTACACCTTATATTATAGTGATGCTAGATTAAAAAAAAATGTTTTTGTTTAACATACATTCTTTTGATTTTTAAAAAATTTATAGCAAATATTAAAAAACATTTAACTTCAAATTTTACTACACTAGAGCTACACAGGCGCGCGGTACGCGCGCGCATTTATTTTATTTCACGAATAGAACAACACAGGCGCGCGCATTTCTTTGTTTCACGAATATACAACCATATATTTTTTATATTTTTATTAGAAGTGAAGAGATAAGTCACTAATATCGACATAGGTCCTCTAAAGAGACGCCTTATTATTTCTCGAAAATTAAACACCGCACTTTATTAATGCTGATGAGGACATAATTTACTTATATATTTACTTATATAATTAAAGACGTAAAAACTTTTACTTTATACATTTATTGATTTTTATATATAAAATCTGCTAAAAACAAATCATTCAAAAGCAATTATTACAAATAAAATTTACCCAAATCTCTTTTACTAATTGTACAGTTTAAATAATAATGAATATATTATTGATAATATTAGATCATTTTACATGTTTGTAACGTCCTAAAACTATTTCAAAAAAGGTAAAAAAAAGTGCCATGTACACGCAATGTATTTTGTAAATTCAAAAATCTAACCTAAGTGGTAGCTTTATATCTTTTTCACAAAATTATATTATCTAACTTAACTCAAGTGACATGTATTTCAAAAAAAAAAAATGTGAAATCTTTAATTTCTTTTTCACAAAATTATATTACCTAACTTAACTCAAGTGACATGTATTTCAAAAAAAGATGTGAAATTTTTAAATTAAATAGCGCCAATTGTAAAGAGAATATGTATATTGCTTTGAAAGATAATTGTTATGCAACTACTTTAAA